AGGCATTCTTTCTAGCTTGACTTGTCAAGTGGCAACTATCTTTAGGAAGTTAGCCAATTTGGTCCAAATCAACCACAAGGACCACCAGTCATAGAGGAAAATTCTTATGGAAAAATGGTGGATCCAAGTGCTTCACTAAATGAGACTTTGAACGCCATCAACAATAGGCTCAATAACCCTTATTCTAATTCTTATAATCCTGGTTGGAAGAATCACCCTAATTTTAACTAGAGCAACAATAACCAAGGGTATGAAAATAATGGTGGGTAATAACCAAGTGACACACCTTAAAATTATCTATTTTTATATGTGAAACATATAGTTTTAGAGAAGTTGATCATGCTAGTGATGACAGTCATGTGAATCTAACTAGACATGTCTAAGAGAAGACAAATTATGGCACAAATAGTTCTAGAGATAGTGCCCTAAAACTATGCTGCACACATCAATAAATGTCGGCACAATTACCATATAGAACATGATCTACGTAAGAGACATTTGTCAGCTAACATAAATGTTCTGGTTGAGGTGAAATGAAATAATTACTATATTCTTCCATGACAAATGACTAAAGAATGTGATGAAGATACTACTTAATTTTGATGATCTAAAGAAGAAATTAAATTCATCATGTTAAGAAAACATACCTGATGAATTAATCTTAAATATATTAGTCTCTAGCAAAGCAAACTTGTAATATATTGTCAATGGAATAGATAACAATGTGGATTATTGTACCATTAACTCTAATAGAACTTCGTAAACTATTATGTGTGTGCACCATAAACACTATACTTGACCATGTCATTGGGGATTACATATAGCTAATAGTAGGAGACATGTTATAAATTGAAAATGATCTGCTATAATTGGTCATTATACCTATTCACATCCGATTTTGATCGATTCTAATGATAATGCATCTTAAAATGTATTTTCTTATTACTTTCTTATTAGCATTTAAAAGTAAATTAGTCTAAAGCTTAAAGAAACAATTAGTCAAATAGAATTTAATTTAATTTTTAAATTGTGTATCTGAAGTCTGAGATGTGATATTTAGGGCCATAGACTCTTTGATTGTAGGGAGAAAACATATCATTCTCTCTACACTTTATTGAATGTCATTTGCAATGATATGAGAGAACCCATTTATGGGCAAATACTATTTTTTCAACACCTATATTGGAATATTGGAAACTATATAAAATGATGGAGCTATTATAACCAATCTTGAGTATAGATAGTCATTCTCATTTAAAAAAAAAAAATAGCATGACAATTTGCTTAGTGTAGTGAGAGTCAACACAAATAAAAGTACTTTTTTTCTCATGATTGCACCTCAAGTAAATTTTGAATATTTTTAAATCTCCAAGTTAGGATTGTTTATGGCTGTAAAGCTAACTTTTTGTGGATATCATATATGTTATGCTAAAGGCATCCAAGAAAGAATTTCAAGAAAGCAATTAAACATAATGGCATTGGTGATGTAGGGACAATATGTCAAAAGTTACACTGGGCAAGAAATACTAATGGTATTTGCATTTTCAACAAAATTTTAATTGACATAAGAAGTGCAAAACAAAAAATTCTATGACTAGTTGATTTCTAGTGATATAACCAGCTGAAGTCTACCGCATGATGTTGGCTACATATGTGGAATAATAATGAATAACATAATAAAATGCTTTAATAGAGTTTTTCATCATGCTAAGGGACTCTCTATTCAAGCATTGGTATGCTCCATCTACAACAACATAGTGTCATTATTTATAAGATGGTATAATACAACACATTAGCTTGAAGCAGCTAACGAGTTATGTATTTCATAATCTCAATAAAAACAAGGAGTAATATCCAATGATATGAGAATGAGGGTTGAAGGTTTTCTTAACCTGGTTTCATTAATTTTTAATGAGCATGAAACCTTTTATTTTAGTTGTTGATCCTTTTCTGTAGATTTAAATCATGATGGGAGCTACACATGCACCTACGATAATTCTCAAGCATATCATCTACCATGTCACACATCATACTTGCATTAAGCCATCAACATGTTGACCACCTATCATATATATCATAATACTACATTATCAAAAGTTATGAGGGCATATATGTAACAATTATTTATGTTATTACTAATTGGTTAACAGCTATGACTTGTATACAAGGTCTAGCATTAATGAGCACACTCAGCCAAAGTTCAAATGTAGAAGTGGCAGTTCACAAATAAAATGTTGCACCAACACAATGGATGTATGGACATCAATAGGCTACAACAGCTATAGATTGTGCCATATAATATAGTACAATAGGTCAACTTGTCATTTTAATAAAAAAAGTAGTAAGTAATTTATAACATTCTGAAAATTTATAAATTTCTTTTTTTTCCTTTTAAAATTATGGAATGACTTCATTTTGTATGTCTACTACATTGGAAAATGAAAGATGTACTGACTCATGTGTCAACATCATAACATAAGGATGTATTTATTCTTGACATCAGGATCCAAGAGCCATAAAAGAAGTTCAGTTGGGCCAACACCAACTAAGATCCGCGCTAACATAGTTTTGCTATGTGGATCACACAGAGGCACGCATATACATAAGGTAATCAAAAAATTATTCTTTTTAAAATTTTAAGAAGGCCTAATTTTATTTTAAAAAATAATAATCATCACTATTTCTTTTCTACAAGGTACTATTTTAGAAGAGGGTTTGCATCTGCTGATGGTGAGGAAATGGTAGTGTACATGTCCATATTTTATAATGTCCCTAAGAGATGCAATATGACTATGGTTGCACAAGGTAACATATTTTACTTGCGGGAAAGGTTACTATGACATTATATGATGTAGCAATAATATCAGAGGTCTGAGTTAATGGCCTTGTATTGATTGGATTTAACATTATCATTATGGGTAAGAGGTAAGAATCATGGCCCAACTATTATTTTAATAAACTAAGTAGCCATATCATTCCATACATTATATACTACCTGAATAATTTAAATGTCATGGCAATGCTTTGTTTGGGACAATCTTGGGCTCAAACCTGCATACGTATTAGAAGGTTGAATTAGACTTTTAGTCGAGAGTGTTACTTGGATTTGTCAGATGTTTAATGAAATAGTTGTGCATACATACTATTCATACTCGTCTTCTTTTTCTCAACACGTTTGGATCAAAGATTTATTTGCAGTGCTTTTTAGTAATGGAGAATCTGATAGTTTTTCTCATTAGTCAATTGAAGTAGTAGTACTATGAAATTTGTAAAGAGAGATGAATGAAGCGATTAAGTGATGATGTGTTAATATGGCCAGGTGTCTACACCCACTACATGTTTAATGTTGGGACAGGTTCCACATAGACAGACCCACACTTCGAGTCTCCTACCTCCCAGACTTTGATTGAAAGAGCATCGGGTTCAGATATGTTATCCATAACACATTTTAAATAATAGATTGCATAAATTTTATACCATCAATAAATGATAGTTGTGCTATAATATATGTGAAATGAACCTCATGTTTGTAAGTAATCAACAAGCCACATTCGAGTCTACTTAGATGCGTTTGATGGGCTGCTGTAGAGCTAGGTCTATTATTTCTTAGAATTAATTAAATACACAAGCATTTATTTCTTATTTTAACTTTCTACTTCTTAAATATTTATAAATTCTGTCACCAACATATAGTCACTGGAGATACTAGTATTATTATGTAGAATGACTCAAAGTGTTATACAGAACTTGCACTATAAATGTGGTGGTATCAGTCATAGGCTGCTTAGAGCTCTAGAAACATTGCTTACGGACCACACCAAAAGAGAGATGGTATGCCTTAAATTTATTTGAGATAAAACTTGTTTAATCATCCTTTTAATAATTTAATAAATTGAATCCAATCTACTTTTATAGCACGAGACCATTATGGTGATAAATGATTAGTTCCAACCATTTTTTTTTCGATCACAATGAAATTAGGACGCCGAAAGTGATCGATAAGCTCGATAAGCTATGTCACCCTACATGTTGATTGGCTTCCACGGCATAAAGATGATGCTACAATTGATGTTGCAGATACTCCACTCACTCATGTAAAGCTCCAACACCTACTACTTTTTTAAATATACTCTAAATATATTAATGTTCTCAAACCTAATTCTACCCTACCCCTTTAGTATTTGAATTTTCCTAAAACTAATCAATTAATTTCTTGAAGTTCTTTATATCACACTCATCATTTTCAATGGCAAAATTTATTATTTATAACTTAACTAAAATTTAATTATTTTGATAAATTTTAAAAGCTTGTTTAAAATTTAAATTTCATATTAATTAAAATCCACTAAACTATATTTTTATTTATTCCTTTATTTATTTTAATTATATCCACTAAACTATATTTTTATTTATTCCTTTATTTCTCACAAAACATAATTTTTAACTTAAGCAATCAAATGAGGTTGTGCTACGTGTAATACCCCTCATCCTTCAATTATTTTCCCAGCGAGGCTGCCAATCATAACTTCAAAAAAATGTATCATAAAAAGGAAAAATTATTCCATACGGACGAACACCGCATGCATTTTGTATGCGTGTCCGATCCTGACCGTAATCCTATCCTGACCGTAAATCAGGTGATCCCTGACCGTAAATCAGGTGATTTATGGTCAAGATGTATTTTGGTGGGCCCCACCTAATTTTTTTTAAAAAAAAAATTGAAATATATCCTAACCGTAGATCGCCGTGATCTACGGTCAGGATCGGACATCGCAAGCAGAGATGCATGAGGTGTCCATACGCAATAAATTCTCCATAAAAAGGCTAAACTCCAATTCATCTTTAATTCTGATCCGCTAAACCTGATCCCCAAAAACCAAATCACATCCCTTTTCTACTTCTTCCCTTTTTTTTTTTTTTGAACTAAAGATAATCAAAGTCATTAATTATGCACCAGCTCGTAGATCAACTATAGCCAAGCAGTGAAAACTAATGTTTAGGGGAAATAACCATAGCATATTGATTAAAACTAATCATCATTGACTGTCGTACTTTCGTTTAATTTATCAACTCCACAACAAAATATAAGAAAATCCCTTACAGAATTAGTCTTTAATGCTAGAACAAAAATATTTGTTATTAGTATAAATAAATAAGATAAATTCTAGTAATTAATGTATTTCATGCTGAAGAAACTGCAAGTGAGAAGATTCTTCACAAAAGTCCTCTTCTTTGTACAGGTGAATATTTCTCTTGCTTTATCTCCTCCCATCCCTATGCCTTCTCTCTCTGTAAGTATCATTGTCTTGGTCTCTCCTCCTTTCATAAGACCTCTCATCTCTTCCAGGCCGGTCTATCTTCGCTCTCCTCTTCTCATTTTCTCCCTCATCCTTCCTGTAACTCTCCCTTTCATGCGCATCAGACCTCCTGTGATTTTCTCTATCTCCATTTTTCTGTTGCAACCTATCAATATGGTACTTGTCATCCCTTACACTTGGTTTCTCTTTCTCGTGTTCTTGATGCCGCCTGCTTCGATCAGCTTCATGTTTATACCTACCTGAACTTTTATTGTCATGATCATGATGCCTTCGATTCTCCGACTTATGGTGACTAGTCTTTATCTTCTTCGCATGCTTTTGATCTGCATTTTCTAAGTTCTCTTCATCAAACAGCATGTCATAACTGCCATGACATTTGCAATCATCATCAGGATAATGATGGGAAAAGAAAAAAACTGAACCAAAATAGTATGGGGTGAGTTAAAACCTCTTAGGATCATGTTCACCATGCTGGGTGTTAGCATCTTTAAGAATATATTTTGGACCTTCTGGCTTCTCGTCCGGTTCATCAATACAATCTCGAGCAATGTGATCAGGAGCACCACATTTGAAACAACCATCTGTATGATTGAGATTGACATAAAAAATACAAATAAATCAATCGGCAGTAACAAGGTAAAGAACGTATTGTATACTTTAAAAATATTATCTTGTATTTTGGTGAACATAGGCATGAGTTTATCTCTTTTTTTTTTTTGTAATTTTTTTACCCACGAAAGTCCATAAAATGGTAGTTTATTATTAGGTAGGCGGGAATTAAACCCAAAATCTTGCCAAAAATATGACATTGGATAACAATGGGATGATAATAATAGAAATGATCATATAAATTTCACTGCAGTAAAATAAAATCATGCTTCTGATGAACAAATGTAAAGCATGTAAGGAGAACAACAACGATCATGTAAAAGAAACAAGTATCAGCAAACAAGGCCTATTAGAGAGGAATTTTCCATACGAAGTACGTATGCAGCTCTAGTGCGAACTCCAGTAATATGCCACCATGTGTGTTATATCGGGCCCACCTAAAAAAATTAAAGCGGCACTGCGGAGATTATTAGAGTGGAACCGCAGAAGTTATTTGGGAGGGTTATTGGGGGCCGCAATAACTCTTCAATAACCCCCCAATAACCTCCGTGATTTTACTCCAATAATCCCCCAATAACTTCTGCGGTTCCATTTCAATAACCCCCTGCATTAACCCCCGCAATAACCTCCCAATAACCTCCGCGGTTTCACGTCAATAACCCCACAATAACGTCCACGTGGCGGCATAATACTGGAAGTCCGCACGTAGAGCTGCGTCCGGACTCCGTATGAAAAATTTTCTCATTAGAGAGAGTGGATGAACAAATAACGCTATGAAAAAGGACCATTCATTCCAATATTTAGAAATTACCTTTCGTTGACCTATTGCCATGCCTATAATGCCTCCACAATCTAGCAACACTTTGGCTGAAATCAACACGTATCCTTCTGTCATCTATTAGTGTATTGTCCATCTGTTAAGCTCAGTGAAATAAGTCTATAAAAGAAAATGGTGATCTGAAATTTAAGATCTAGCAAGCTTCTTTAGGACTCAAATGTCAAATGTCGCTGAAAATATTATCCAGAGTGCACAGTGAAAATGTTAAAAACAGAAGGCAGCCTAAGGTAAGCCAAGAAAATAAAATAAAAAACAATTTATGATGTCTGGTTCTAATTCTCATGATGATGCATAATTATTAAAGCTCGAGTACAACAATTAACTAGAGGATTTAAGAAACTAGCACGTGATTATGCATAATCACAATGCCTAAACACAACGGTAATTCACTAAGCTTTGTATGGATCAAAGTCTTTAGTATTAGACCCAACATTAAACTGGTGGAAGGAATGTGGAAAAGATCAAACTGCTAATTCAGGGCCCGTTTGGGGCAGTTTATAAGTGCGGCGGCGTTTTGAAAACGCTGCCTCACTGTTTGTTTTCTCACGTTTTAGGTGAGTTAGGTGAGTTTTAAAAACCACGTTTTCTATTATCTATTAGACGCGGACCGCAAGTATACCCCCGTGATCCGCGTTCGCCCTCTAGCTTTTACTCCCTTACCCTCGCTAAACCCGATCGTAGCCGATCCTGCCTCCGTCGCTACCCAAATTTGCTCTGCAGGGAAGAAAATTCCTCTCCCTCCTCTCCTCCCTCGTCTTCCCCATTTGGCCGAAACCTAGGCATGCCGAAAGCGGAGCCGAAGCACGAGGAAGAGATCATAGGGATCTCTTGTGCACTGAGGCTCTAGTCGGAGGGGAGTCTCTCTGACGGTGGAGTTTTAAGGCGAGATCGGATGTGCCTTCTTTTCTTTTCATATATTGTCGTTTTTTGTTATACAATTTTTGTGATTATTTGAAGCTAATCAAGTCATGAGAAAACTGCAACGATCTGATGGTTTTATCCTTTCGTGATGTTTATTGAATTTAAGTACATGATGATCTCTTATAGTGAGTCATCTCCTCCTGCGTGCTTTCATGTTTTTCAGTTTGTAATATAGGTTTTGCAATTCTTTTTGTGCTTTTGAATTCATGAATTGCATGAGAAAAAAGTAATAATTTTGGACTGGAATTTATGAATTTTAACTCTCATTGAAATAAAAAAACAAACAATGTTATTTCAATTAAAACAACCAGCTTGGGTTTTGATCTATGAGGGTGTTACTTGATCCTTGTGAGCACTCATTTATTGTAAAACATGTGATGTAAAGATCCACTATGATTTATGACTTGACATTTATGAAGGATGTACCTTTGTGCATGCTTTTCACTGGTGATATATTTGTAATGGACAGAACTGAATATGTGATATCTCATTTTAGTAGTGATCGATCTAGGGAAGAGAAGCATAAAATCAAGTCTTGTTGAAATGATAATTTTTGTAATTTTGATAAAGTTGAAGTTTGTTTTTGTTTCGTTTTTGTAGAGCTGTTGCATGAAGTGCGTGATCTATTTAAATACTTGAGTAAGCTTATTAGTTCATATAAGAAGTAGGATAATTTTGTACTGTTATGAAACTTGTGTATATACTGAAAATAATGGACATGTAAGAAATTGAAGAATTTGGAAGATACTGATGATCCAATAAACTGCAGAAATTGTAGTGTATAGTTAAATATAAATGGCTGTTATACATAATAAATAGTTTTCACAGGCATATTAGTATGAGGTGTATTTTACTTTTGTATTAGTATGTGATGTAATCACCTCCATATTAGTATGTGAAGGTGTATTTTACTTTTGAAAATATAATTGTGCTTCTTTGATGTGATCAGAAATATTTGAGTTATATAAATGTAACTCAATTCTTTTTTATTTTCATGTCTAACATTCGAACTTTAATTTTGTTGAGAAAATTATAAATTCTGCGTGACAGATTATTCATTTAACTAAATAAGTCTGTAAATAAGCTGTTTACAAAACACACAAACCAAGCAGCTAAACAACTTATCCACAACAGGGGCAGAATAATCATTTATCAAGAATCAACTGTTTTCCAAATGCACAAACCAAACAGCCAGCCAGTTTATCTGGATCAGTTGTTCATCAGCAGATTATCAGGATAAGCTGCTTATCAGCATAAGCTGGATAAGCTGCAGCTGCCCCAGACCCTCAATCGTAATGATATAAATATTATTAAAATTAAATTAGATTAATTAAACCAAGCATTATTTGAAATAAAGACGAGTGATAAAATGAAATATATAATATAAACGAAATAAGTTCAAATTGTATTACAACACCGTCACAATTTGATGTCAAACCAATTCAATTACACTTATTTAAAGGGTTGAGCAATTTGACAGCCTATTTTAGTTGAATCAAACTAGTTTGAGAACAAATTCATGGTCTGACTAGTTTAACAGCCTGATTTTCACACCTATGGGTTGGATTGAAAAGAAGGTTAGTGAAAGGACATATAAGCCCAATTAGTTATCGGTTTATTGTAAATTTGCAACCTTCAATTAAGTTTTTCAGCCATTTTTCCCCTCAAATTCCAAGCATCCAACTACAGCCCAGCTGTTTAATGAAAGAGCCAAAAAACCTAGAAGGAGAAAAAGCCAAAAAAAAAAAAATGGTAGACCCCTTCTAATCTTAAAGAAACACTACAATTGGTAGAATGGGAAATGCAAGCAAAAACAATTATTTTTTTTTGGTTAAAATCTTAGAAGTTCTCATCAAGTCTCTGAGATTGAATCCGGTTGACATTAAATTTATGCTTATGGCAACACTCAAGATGGAGAAACAGGTGCCGATAATTATTTGCCCATGACATGTGACCATGTGTGAGAGAGAATGAGACGAGATGAAGCAAAGAAAAACAATGAAAAGAAAACGAATGCAGACCAACCACAACGAACAGAAATTGAAGAAATTGCATCTAAATTTACCGGAGCAATAAAACAGAAACAAATATACCTTGAAATATGCACGTTCACAGGCCTCCTTGGTCTCAAATTCTGAAAAAGGATAGCAGAATACATATAAAAAAGATTATACTGCCCGCTGGAAATGTCGGTAGACAGCATAAATTTAACACAATAGTCGCATCATAGACAATCACAAAACAAAATTGGCCGGTGAATATAGAATATAGTCAATCTCATGCACATTTAACAGACCCACTTATTTGTTTGTTTCATGCTGTCCACAAGAAAAGGTTATGCCATACTAAAATAGCAATAATTCAGAACACTAACTTGGCAGTTGAATGAATTGTAGTCATTTAAAAATACTTACCAGAGAAATCGATTCTGAAAAATCATAAAACTAATATAATGTAAAAAAGTAAGACATCTGATCAATTGCAAGCAACCACAAGTGGCAGTCAGAGAAGAAATTGAAATCTTTAATCCTAGGATTTAATTTGGTCAAGAGAAGTTGAGAGGAAAAAAATATATCTGGTAATTATATCATAACGGTTTGGTTTGATTGTAATGCATGAGAGCTTGATCTGAACAAAAATAAATAAATAAATAAATAAATAACAGTTATAACACATGCATGTTTCTCCTGCAGAGACCCAGTCAAGAAAAGTGAAAAATAAAGTATACACGACATCATTTAGAATTCTTAAAAAGTGTTTTAAGGATTGGATGTAGCTGGATGAGGTTGTTGAATAATAGAAAGAATAGAATATGTGAAGTCGGTGGAAATTGGAAGGGGATTAAAGAGGTTTGGCAGTTGTTCGGGCTGAAAATATCAGGGAGAACAGAGAATGAGAACAACTGCAAGGAGCGGTGATGCGGGAGAGCACGTTGGGATCCCACGATCCCATTTATGCAGGATTCGTGGGATAGCAGAAAGCCTGCGATCGTGGGAATTGGCAGAGGAGCCCCCAATCTTCAATTTAGGCAATTTTTTTCCTTTTATTCTTTTCTAATTTCTTTTATATTTCTCTATTTCTAATTAGGTTATTTTCTATTAGGTAATTATTTATATGTTATTTTTTGGTTTAGGATCACTTTTGTTATTGTTTATGTTTTGGAGGCTTTATTCTCTATTTTATGCTCTTCCGACGTGATGTATCTTTCCTTTTGCAAGTAGAGAGTCTATATCTTGCTCAAGAACAGATTGTGGATCCCCCTCACCAATAATACCTCACCATTTCACATTTCTACAGCTGTTTTCAGTCCAAACAGCTGCAGAATATGCTGCTACCTGCTGTCCAAAAGCTGGTTTCCACCGTCGAGCACATCAGACCCCTTTCCAAACACTTTCAGCCCATAGTATCATTCCATTACTATTCCATAACCACCTCCCCACTAAATCCCTTCCCAAAATACCTTCTAAGCGCCCTAGAATGGTATCATCTGGTATCAAAGCCCGTCAAGCCCTAAATTTTTTAGGGTCTTATCTTTCTTGTACCAACCCAAAATTAAAAAAATATATATATTATCATCATACTCAAATCATTCCTACCGCAATGCCTAGCCCCAATCCAAAAGTTTCAAAATATAACATTTCCGCCTTCACCGAAAACCCACCGTCACCTACCACTAAAATATAAGCAACCAGTCGAATTTGCAATCCTACATCCGTCGAAATCCAGATCAGGAGAAAAGGACACAATGTCGCTTAGGAAAAATCTGTAGGATAATGCCCAGGAGCATACTATAGAGGAAATGCAAATCTTTAATTGCAACAAAAACTTACTGTCGCTGAGATAAGGCAAGCCGAAGAGGTACCCATAGCCACAATAATGACTTGCCAGATCGAGAGGACGAAACGATTCCCTCCCACAAGATAGCTTCCATTGATGAAGAACCAATACCCCGTAGATTTGATATGAAAGATCAGAAAAGCCAGGGAGTGAAGATTGAATTGCCAGATTTTGACGAACGCATGAATCAGGACAAATTCATCTAATTGCTCCAAACAATAGAATTGATTTTTAAGTATAAGGAAGTTTCACCTGACAGAAAGGTCAAGCTAGTCACTATTAAGTTAAGGAAGAATGATTCATTACAACAACAACAAGCCTTTATCCCAGTAAGTGGGGCCGGATACATGAATCATTTTTCTCCATTGTTTTATTGAGTGTCATATTTTGATTTAATTCTAATAGATTAAGATCATTATTTATACAATAAGCCCAAGTCTTTTTAGGTCTACCTCTTTAGGTCTACCAGGTCTACCTCTGCCTTTCATAACATAAGGAAGAATGATTCTTTGTGATGGCAAAAATTGAAATTCCTAAGCTAGCGAGAGGAAAAAAGAAAAATAGCAACTTGATCTAAAATGAAAGGAGAGATGCAACGTAAGTACCTGTCAGTATTGATACATTACGAATAGGATGTGTTCTTGAAACTTCATCACTTAGAACAGAAAGATCTTTTAGTAGAGGAGTGCACTGCTGAGTTCGAGTAGCTTATGTTGGCGTGTGAACTAGTGAAGCCCGAGAAGAACACCAAAGCCTGATATCTATGGGCATTGAGACCGTCTATTAGCAACATGGTACAATTTTAGCCCTATTGGACATTACACAATATTCAGACTCTAGCCCTGAAGATGTAAGAGATAACATAGCACTATTAGAAGCACATGATGTGTTGGAAAGAATATTTAAATTCTTTTATATTTTACACATGTTTATGAATGAAATTACACTTTAATGAAAATATTTTCATGTTTTTTCTTGCAGGTATAAAAAGTATTAGAAGTGAAGCAGAGTGAAAGAGACTTAGAGCAAAAGAACATGCAAAAGACTAGGTGTCAGTCTTAGCGCTGATAAACTGAGAGGATGACACTTAGGCACCACCTACTTGACGCCTAGGCGCCCATACTAAACTTGGCATATAGAGAGTCTGGAGCTTAGGTGCCAGCAACTGCCTGAGGCAGTTTTGAGCAGTTCGATCACTTGTCGTGGGGAGCTATTCAGATAGTTATGGGGGCTTTGTATGAGAAGTTTTAAAGTCTATATATGTGTATGTAGAAAAAAAGAGAGGCTTTCTGATGGATTAAAGGATAGTGTGTTTATTTAGTGTATTGGTGAGGAATTAAGTTGTAAAGAGAGGAGTCTTCAGGAGAGCAGCAAGGAATCAGAAGAATTTGGTGGAGCATATTCAGAGCCTTGTAAAGAAGAGAAAGATAAGTGTTGTGTATTTGATTATTGTACTTCTGTAAACACATCATTTAGCGGAACTCTTTTGTTTTCAAGGAAGCTTTGGGAATGTTCTTCATGCTTTCTTAGTAGTTCTCTTTCTCTTGCCTAGTGATGATTGAGTAGGATGAGTAGGATTGTAAAATGTTTTCAAATTTGTATTTAATTACTTAATGCGATGATTAACTTTTAGATCTTCATTTATTTTTCATTCCGGCCAAGTGAAATGTTAAAATGACTTGTGAACCATAATGACTCGGGAGAGTAATGGTAGAATCAATAAGGTTAGTCAAGTTGAACTGTTGAGTATAGGTTGATATGTTTCGTAGAGAGATGCAGATGTTAGGAAAATATTTTTTGATGGGTTCAAAATGAGGTTTAAGTAATTAAAGTCATTTTAATCAATATTCTTTATGCACTCGAGAAAGGGTAAAGAAGAGAGTTGCTCTTATTTGTCACTAGTCAAATTTATAATTAACACTCTACATTTCATTTACTCCACTTAAATCATTGCAAGGCTGGGTAACTTTATAACTTGATATTCATCAATTCAACTAGGTTAAGTAGGATTTCTGTAGGATTTAAACTTTAAAATTGTTTGCATTATTGTAGGATTTGTTTGTCGAACTTTCAACCAAAACTAAGTTCTAGGCTAGGAACAAAACAAGTAGGCCGTAACTATCCTTAGTCTAATTTCCTCGTTCTCTGTGAGATCGACATCTGGACTCAAAAATTTGATATTACTGATACGACACGTACACTTGTGTGAAACCCCTAAGTGTGAGTGCATATGGAGTCGGTATTAAGTTTTTTGCTTCGTTGCCAGGGAACAACGGTGTAGTTAACCTAGGAGAATTTTAGTTGGACTTTTAGAACTTAAACATGGAAATTGTAGTGTAAACTGTTTGTTTGTAATCACATGTTGGTTTGTTTTAATAACTAAAAATTCAAAAATATTTTTCGTTTGATTTGTTTGATTGTTGTGAAACTTACCTAATATTCTTTAGTTTATTTATGTGTAGTTCAGGACTTATTCGACTTGAACCTTACGATAGTGAGCTAGATAGAAATGTTAAGAGAATTAGAAAATAAAGAAGACTTCACGAACTTGTAAAACAAATGGCAAACAACCCACAAACTAATTTAGAAACTCATGAACTTATTCATGATTCACATGATGTACATAGACCATTAAGGGATTATGAGCTACAGCAGATGAAATTCATTTAAGTATTTAAACCCCTGCCATAGAAACTAACACGTTAGAGCTTAAATCTGCAATCATCCAAATGGTACAGAACAACCAATTTGGGGGAACCTTGTCTGATGATCCTTACACTTAGCAATTTTTTTAGAACATTGTGCTACATTCCACTTTAAAGGCATATCCAATGACGTTATTAGGCTTAAGTTTTTTCCCTTTTTACTGAGGGACAAAGCCAAAATGTGGATAAACTCATTAGCACATTGATCAATTAGAACGTGGGGTGACTTAGACCAAAAATTCATAGCTAAATATTTCCCAGCTTCAAAAAAAGGCCAGAGTTAGGAATGATATTACTTCATTTTGCCAAAATGAAAGTGAGTCAATATATGAAGTTTGGGAAACATCTAAGGATCTACTTAGGAAGTGTCCCCATCATGCACTGCCCGATTGGCTGATTATTCAGACTTTATACAACGATTTAATAGGATCCCTTAAGTCCATTATAGATGTCGCCACTGGTGGTTTGCTCATGTCAAAGTCATTTGAAAAGGCTTATTCTCTAATTGAGGGGATGACTACAACCATAAAGGCGGCTAGTGTACATGACACTACTGTGTTTCGATTCTAACTTCTCAGGTAGCAGTCATATC